CCATGTCCCTTGGACTTGTAGGTCCATCAGACGGCCACCCCAACCCTTGGAGTGACGCATCTCTAATGAGAGTCAGCGATAGAGTTATCTGATCTAGGGGCACTCCCTTTTCCAAGTTCCAGGCATTCTTCCACCAAGAGAGGGCTGCTAGAGCTTGGTCCGCATGTAGGCCTTGTGGTCCTGTAAGCACCTCTGAATCAGACAAGACCAGACAGCTGCTGACAAACTGAAGTTATTTTTCCAATATGGCACATCAGTTCTCGCATTGAAGTCGTTCCCGTCACCAGGAGTTGGCTGGCGAGTTCTGCAAGGGTAGACGCAACCAATCTGCGAGGGGTGGACAAGCTTGCTCCATGTCGAACTGCATACCAAGTCGTCGAGGTATGGGTTCAGATAAACCAACGACTGGTGTAGCAGCTGGCTCACCTGTCTTAGCACCCTGGTGAAGATGTACAGTGCCATGCACAAATTAAAAAGGAAGGTGGTAAACTTGTAAACGTTGCCCTCCAAGGGGAATCTGAGATACTGGCTACATGAGTGGTGAATGGGAATGTGGAAATATGCATCGCCAATTGCACTGACAGAAGTACCAAAGCTGGTGTTCCCATTCGAAAATGATTGAGCTCCACAAACCCATTCAGACGACTGAGGTCTAGGACAGGACGCCACCCTCCCAAACTCTTGGGAACGAGGAAGGTGTAGGAATAGAACCCTGGATCTAAATGTGAGTTCTCCACTAGGTGTATACTCTTTTTCTCCAGAAGGCTGGCTACTTCCTGCCGGACCGTCTCTTCCTTAACCTCATCCCTTGGCAGAAGACCAAGCCTGAGAACTCCAAAGGGGGAGGGTTCGGATTCAGACCAACATCCATGCCCATGCAGCCAACGAAACCTTCAAAGAAACTTCCTGGCTCCCTGGTTCCCAGAAGTACCAGAACACCCACCACCAGAGCCACGTTTCGTGAGCTTCTTCTGATGCTTCTCGCCACTAGTCTTCTTCTGACATTTAGAAGGAGACCATGGAGTGATTTAATTCTCACTGGTCCTGGTCCTGGTCCCGAGCAGGGGACTTATTGCCTGAGTCGCCTTGCAGTTTTGGCTAGCTTGGCAAGAACGGCAGTATGGACTTGCATGATGGCCCATCTGCCTGAGGATCATGGTTTGTTGCTGAGCAATCAGGTAGTCAGGGTGAGTTGATGTTCTAACGCCAAAGATACCCATTCCATAAAATTGATGGGTTTAAGTTCTGCCCATAGCGCCTGATGCACAACATGCCCTACCCGAACCATGCAACCTGCCTCAACAAAGACATAAGTACCGGAATCGGGATAGGGAACCTGTGGAGAAGGCCGTGGCACCATACGAGTATCCCAAACCAGGGACCCATCAATGGTTCGTGTAGCCCTGATGAGGTATCAGTTAAGGCATGGGACAGGACCGACCCAAATCCAGGATCAGTATTCTTGTCCTTGTCTCCCAAAGGATATCAATCACCCTCTCCATCGTTATCTCGGCCCCTCCACAGCCTGGGCCACACGAGGTGCCCAGGGGAGTTGGTCAACATACATGGTATCCATGCCCGCAATGCCTGTCACCTCAGAGATGAACGACTGTGAAGGTCTTGCCTCAATCGTTGATCTCGCTACATTGAGCAGAGAGTCGAACCGTGGCAACTCTCGATCTCCCTCAATTTGCGATCGGAGGCAAGCCTCATCTCGGCCACCAAGGGGAGAGAGAGATTTTTCACTAATAGAATCAAATACATCTCTAGCTATGGCTGGGCATTTCCCCTTTTTAGTGAGACGCTTACTAGCTTTTCACAATCGCTTGCCTTCAGCCTTTAACCCCGCCCCAAAGTGCTTCTATGATTGGGAGTCCAAGAGATCCCAAATACCTTTGAGGCCAAATCCTGAGTCCCATTCACAACCAAGAGAAGCCAACACATGCATGGGTTCCAAACCGGGATAGCTAAGTGGCAAGATGAACATGTCTTATGTGAACAAATAACTGTAATCTGTCTCTTTTGTCCCATAAACGCTGTAGCAGAAAAATATTCCAGCGCCAGTGCAAGCGGAAACAAAAAGGGAATGGAAACTGCAGGCCTGAAGCATGTGACGCCCTTGAGAATCTAATACTAGGGTGTTCCCTTTGAACCCGGGTATATGTCACACGCAACGTAATATTACCGTAATTGGTATAGTACAGGTGTGATGGTTCAAATACCAAAATGGCAACAGTAACAGAAAGACCTTCCTGGCGGCGATGATAAAGCACGAACACGGAGCCAACAGATGAGGTTTCAACTGGTACTGGTATTATTATACTCTGCAAACATCAAGTACAATAACGACGTAAAACTCCACTACTTCAATAATTGGATACTTAAACTCCAATACAATTTAACGAGATCTCCGATCTCAACTCAGTGCTGAACAACTCCCCTATATATACCCCCACTGTCTATAAATAGACCATTACATCAGCATACATAATGAGTCTGGAACTTACTACAAATTTCTAGAATGTTCCATTACCTTCTATTGTCTTCTACAGTGTTCTATTACCTATTCAACCAGTTCCTAAAAATCTAGAATATTCTACCCAGACACAGAACGTTTGTAGAACATTCTCAGTGACACGGAAGTGGTAAACAAGTCGTATGCGACAGTATATTCTCTAACGATTTCTGTTCGAGGCTGTAATCTGTAATTAAGCCTAACGAGTAATAAATAAAATTTATTATTTTTATGGATTTTCTGGTAGGTGATGTAGTAGTCTATGAGGTATGAAAGATGATGGGAGACGTGTGGGAGTAATGCGAGTATGACAGATAACAGATTATCACCTGTGTTATTCTGATCAATATTACTTATATAAAATAGATAGAGAGCACAGATAGGAGATGGTAATTCGTGTGGAGCTCTGAATCGACATGAACAAACATGTATTTCGCCCTGATTTATTTTGTTCTATATAATCATTAATCAAGCTTTTTGAATTATTTCGATGAAATCAAATTTAGTCCCCATAGTAAAACTAAAACTGTGACCTCTCCACAGACCGAGTCCAGCAATCAAGAACAAAAAAATAATGGCAGCTCGTTTGCTTCTCTGCGATATTTATGGATTAATGCTGGTATATATTCCTCCTAGGTTAACCCTGTATCCTTTGATAACAGCGGATGTGAGATATATTGTGTGAAATAAAAAATCAAGGGAGACAGATTGCTTAAGCAAAGCAGGCTGTTACAGAACTTCATTCTCCTATGTGTATTGTACTGTATGTGCATTGCGATGGCGATGTTGTAGGACACTTGAATATAATGCATCTCTTGGTTACACATTACTGGGGAATATGTATTTGGAATAGTGCCGGACTCGTGGATAACATCGTGTTGTCCAGTGTTTGTGCTGACTTTGTTCATCTTCGTGTTTGTTTTGTACCTCGTTAATTGCTTAAGCGCTCTATTGAGGTCTAACATATTCAGCAAGTCTCAGGTGACTTATTTGTAGTAATAATGCCTGAATAGAACTATGGGTATAAGAAGAAGAAAAAAAACGCTTTGAAAATACTTTTTAGCTGAGTTTGCTGCACCATGCTGAGACCCTTACTAAACCCTGTACGTGTTAAATTTCATATAAATCCTAGTATAGTATAGGCAGAAATTTTATTTCCAAATTGATTTGACAAATTTCGGGATATGGGCACCTCTAAATCTGTCGATAGACCGGACTATGATATAAATTCCGTGGTACCATCCACCTTGTCATGGCTCATATAGTGGCCAATTGTTTTGCAAGTGGGAGACCAAACAAAGTAACCAATTAATCGGGTAACTACTGTTTCACTATTCACTAGTTGAAATGTGCCTGTCTACACTCCTGATGTTTGCATTAGATCATCATGCATGATATTTAACTCCTAAACTAGGTGGTTCTGTTGTACAGGAAAGTAGATTCTGTTCTCGGTATCTAGGTTATCACTTTTGTATGGCCGCCTTTCGATCACGAAATACTGTAGCATTATGTGCCCTGAAGGAAACCTAGGTATGTTCATACAATCAATTCGAATCAGTCATGAAGTGTAAAGTAGTTTCAAGAGAATTTCAACATAGCCAAACAAATTTCAAAACTTCGATTAACAAGAAAATTGTTGGAAATGGTCATAGGGGGTCAGGTATCGGCTAGCAATCAGAATAGGCGCTTTGAACTTATCTTTACATACTGACGTTTTGACTATTTAACATCATTATAAAATAATGATAAAGTTAATTATGGTAACATAAATGAGACGATGACAGCTGGATCAGCAACACTGACATAGTATATGAATCACCATACTCGTCATCAGCAGAACTTCAAGTCAAAACCAACTTTGGCAAGTAACAAACATTATGCAGAAAAACATTTGTCCAACAACTAAGTGAAACTAACGTAAAACATTGTCCATATATTTGTGAACACAATACTTGTTCAATGATATATCTAACCTATTTAACTGATGGCATGTTTTGTATTGTACATTATTTCATTTTTGAAATAAAAAAGAGTAAGATGAGTTTGCCATCTCTTTGATCTGATCTATGTGCGATCTGACTTCATTGATGATATTGATTTATATGTTTTTATAGGACATTATTTCTATGTTGAGGCTACAGACCTTGTAACAAAAGGGACAGCAAAGTTTTACACTGAAGAATTCGGGGCTACGAGAGATTCTTGCC